CCCTGCTCTCTTGACCGCACTTCCCACGGGAGTTAACGTGTCCAGGAAGCCTCATTAGCATAATCTCTCTCTGCGAGGAGAGAGAACCCGTCTTTTGAGATGTTTCAGGGACCTCCGCAAAATCCCAAAGATAGTTCAAGGCCAACGAGGCTTCACCCAGAATTTGACTTTTGGGATCAGCTCTCCATTTAATGAAAATGACAATGAAAGGGGCCCTGGGTGGCTGGACCAGTGGTTGAGCGGTAACTCTTGATGTCACCTCTGGTTAGGATCTCAGGGTCCGTGAGTTCAAGCCCCACGTCTGATTCAGATGCTCTGTCTCCCTCTTTCTGGCCCTCTCCCACTCACGCACTCTCTCTCTCTCTCTCTCTCTCTGAAAAATAAACGGTAAGAAATTAAAAAACATAAAATGACAACGAAAGGCTTCAAAGGCAACATGGAAAGTTACACAGTTACTAAAATAAACCCTTAGTTCTTTTAATAGAGAAGACTCCATTTCCGGAAGTAATCAAAGACCTGATAAAAACAGAGGACGCAGGCAAGTATTTTAATAAACCACAGAATCTTTGTCTTCTAGGTAGATGACCTAAAAGGTAAAGGAAAACCTTTCATAATTCCATCAAGAGAGACCAATCACCCAAGAAACCTTTGTCCTTTCACTAGACGAAAGACAATTTTCGATTTTTCCTAGGTACATCATTGATACGAAAGCGTATTTTTCTGTAAGGCGATTGAACAGAGCCCTTTTACAAATTACTTTCCGCAGTACCCTCGGGGGAGACAGACATCGCACACAGGGAACACTCATCTGTACACGTCCGTAAACACGCAGATGGGCACGGACACTCCAGCCTCACAACAGTGTAACAGTGGAAACCCACCGTGTCTCCGGCAGGTGGAACAGGTGAGGGCCGCCTCCCGCGGCCGAGGCTTTTCACTGACGTTTGTGGAGGGGACGTTTAAGATTTGGCTTTGCCCTTGACCGGCAGTCCGGCAGAGGCCTTGACGGAGAGGCGGGCAGGGACCTTCCCCGGCAGGGTCTGTATCCTGACCCAGAGGCAGGCGATCCAGTTACTGGTTTCCATCATCCCCGGGAGCTTGCACCTCAGGCATGATGACACTTCCGGCTTCCAGAAGCAGAGGAACAATGCCAGTCTTCTCCTAGGAGTTTTGGGGTATGTTCTCAATTATTAGAAGTCTAGACTAATGACTATTTAAGATTTTCCTTCGTTACCGGTGGGTGGGGCCGCCCGGGGCACTCCGACAGTTCGCCGTCAATCACAGCCCTCTCCCCTGCGCGCCCCACTTTCTCGGGGACTCCACCTGTCAGCGTCCCGCTCCGGCTCCATCAGGAGCACTGGGCCATCCATCCGCCCAGCTTGCGCCCTCCTAGCTTTGCGAGACGGCTTGGGGAGCCTCTCGCTTGTCACCCTGCGCTCCCACCTCGCCCGCCAGCCCCAGCCCAGCAGAGCGTGGCGCCCTCCCCTAACCTCAGCTCTCCTGCAGCTTTCCAGCCCCGGCTTCAGCCACTTGGAGGCATCGGTGCCCAACGGAGCACCGCAGGGGCCTCGGGCCCAGGAGCACAGGCTCTGAACCTCAGGGCATCCTAGCTTTGTGGACGGGACAACCTCTCTGGGCTGTTTGCTCCTCGGGAAAAGGCGTATCCCTGCCCCCCATGCGTGTTGGGAGCAGAGGCAATATCTGCGATACAGCGGCACTCAGGACCAGCGTAAAAGAGA